GCCATCTGGTGCTGATGATTCCCACATAGCAAACACTTGATGCATGGTGGAAATGCTCTGTCATACGGACTTGCAGATAGGGCCTTCAGTACACTTCCACAGTTTAAAAATGTGACTGTTGAGCTACTGTTCCAAGAACATCCTTTATATATTATTAAACAAAATTGACAAATATATAAACTAAATAGATGGAAGTTATTACATTTTGACAGTCATGTTGATTAAACAGTGGGACTCAGATTTGATTTTAGAACACAGGAACAGTCTGCAAAATGTTGCATCTTGATATATGCACAAACATGCCAGTGTAGATATTTTTCTGAGAAAGTATGAGAAACATATAATGAGTATTTGTGTTGATGTGCATTTAGTTCTTTTCAGGATTTTCTTCAAAATGAAACCATTAAAACTGGCAAATAAGAATATTAAGATGATGATGAGCCTTTCAAAAACCATAGAGAAGGGAACATAATTTAAATGAATAAAAACCTGTCTAACACTTAGGCTCTGCTAAAGAAAAAAAAAAAAAGAAAAAAAAAGATGCAGACCTTTTTTTACCAGAATGAGTTGATTTATGGAAAATGTTAGGCGTCTCAGTTAAACTGACAAATTGTAAGACTTACCCCTGCAGCTACTGAAGTGATTTTCTGGATTGACATTTGATTGTTAGTATTATAATCTAACCGAGATAATCTGTTATCATCATCTTCAGCTATATCATATTAAAGGTTGATTATTTAGTACTTACGTTTTGTTAATGGGCTTTTCATGGGGAGGTGGAATTACCTGATTGTAAATTAGACATTTTTAATAAGATGCAGCATTGGACTGAGCACAGTAAGAGACAAATGAAGCTACCAGCATCTCCATACAATTTGGGAGCCCCTTAAATAGAATTTCTGCTAATTTTATCTCACAAAATCCTTGTTGCACTGTTATTCATTGAAGAACTTCCAGTATACATTTTTCAGATACGGCACAGACAAATTAGGCATACATTAACAGACACTCACAATAGTGTGAATGTTTCTCTGCTAAATCCCCCAAGCACAAAAGGCTGAGTATTTACACTTAAAGTGTCTAACAACAGAGAATTCATCGTATCTTTTCCATACATTGATGAAACAGAGGGACTTATGTTCTTACCAGTTGCTTTCCAGGGAACTAAGTACAAAATGTAAGGGGAACTTCAATGTCTATCTCTACAGTTATTATATTTCTCAGTTCTCCACAGTCTTCTCTAAAACAGCACGTTTTTAATATCAAATATTTCAAAATAATTCTGCCAGATCTTCCTCCTTTGGAAAATTATGGCCATGACGACTGTGAGAACTTGCACAGTGTGCAGCTTATTTCAGCAGCCATTTCTCAGGTCAGCGTTACAATTTCCAGGAATAAGGTGGTAAAGTCCTGGAAAGAGGTGCAGAAGCTCATAAGTCTGAAGACCTTTTAAAGCTTTCATAGGCTGTCACTGTGGGTAATATCTGTACAAGGACAGAAAGCAGTAGAGTTCAGATGAGGTGTATTTTTTATGATGGTAGGAGGAGGGTTTTTTTGCAGTGGGGAGTATGAAGACACAGTCATTCATCCTAGGGAGTGAACGTAGGAGTATATACATCTATTAGCAGTGTATAAAGAGGAGAAGAGGGAGTTTCTGAGTTCGGCTGTAGCTTGGCTGATGCTGGTACCCAAGTCAGTGTTAAAGCTGGCAGTCACTTCTCTAAAGGTGTATACAAAGGCAGCTGTCCTGTCTAGAGTGATATTTTAGCTGTGAAGCAACTGAACAAAGATGTGAGCGCTTTCATTACATTTTCCAAACAAATCACAAAGATGATGGAGTAACAAGTGTTTCTAGAGACACAGCTGTGATACAGCCTTTTCTCATATGGCCAGAGGGACAGGCACGTGGAGACAGTCAACACTGACACGCTTTCCAGAGTTGGTAGTGCTGAACAAGCAAGTGAAGCTCGGCCCTTGCCAGGCATCCACATGGGATCTCTCCTTCACCCACCATGTCTTTCAAACCATCGAGGACTCTCTGCACACCCTTGTTCGTATCGACTTAGCAGGCTTGCACCCACTGTGGCTTCAGCTGTTAGGAATAAAACAGTGCTTCAAAGGAGGGCTTCTGAACTGAGAGGGGCACAAGAGATGATGGCCACTCACTTCTAAGATTCACTGTACTTGAAGGGTTGGGAGTAGATCCTGACAGCCTTCACCATTTCTGTGGTGCAGCAGAATTAGTTGCCACAATGTTGGCTTTGCCACTGGAGGATGTAGGAAGCCCAGTCCAAGTTAGAGGCCTGTGTGCATGGGTGGTTACACACTTCACCCCATGCTTATCCATGACGTACAACCTGCCAACCCTCCCTTTTTCTCCAGCCAGATAAACCCAGTGAAGTCCTACGGAGGCACCGCTTGCCTGTACCTCACGGCTAATGCTTCTTCGCCTTTTTGTGCCCTTGTCCTTTTCAGTATTCTGGAGGAGCACTCACTGCAGTAACATGGGCCAGTGTCACTCTTATTACTTTACCTGTTTTATCTTTTGTGAAATTGAGCCTTTAGCCAGAATTGCCTGAGCTGCTGCTCCAGCAGTCGGTTAACTGTGAGGCTCCTCGAGCTCATTTCTCTGAAGTAATTTGATTCCCACGTGCTCACTGAGATTGCTTTTTTGCTGAAAAGGAATTGGGGGAGGGGGACGGGTGAATGTATGGGAGCAGATCAGAAATGTTATGGGCAGAGAAATGTAGCTTAGAGATAAAAACCACGCAACAACATGTTTAAAAAGATCCCATCTCACTTTATCTCCCTTTAACCCGGTCCTCTAAAACAAAATGTTTTTCTGTTCGAGAATCAGAGACACAGGGTCTTTTGTGCTGGTGCGGGGTATGAACAAGAGGCTAAATTCCATCCTGCTTCTGTATAAAGCCAGGAAGGTAATCCTTTCATTAAAATTACCAGAAATGTGTGTAAAATACTAATTAGATTTTTTTTGGGGGGAGGTAACTGGTCATAAAAAGCTTCTATGGATTTCAAGATATTTTCTGAAATCGTACACAGACTTTAAGGCTTTTTGGTTTGCTTGCTGAACTATTTGCTTTACATTGTGGTTACTTAGGAGTAATTGAACACCAGTTTTCTAGATAAGCTTCTACTTAAGATTGGTTAGTATGGCAGCGGTTTTCTAAATAATGTACAATTTATGGAGAAATTCTATGAAATCACTAGTGCGTTATCACAGTTTTGGGCAAACAAGCCTGAAAAGTTAATCTTGCTAGGGGGAGAATTTTTCTGAAAATAAACTGTTCAGTGCGTAAACAATGGTGTATAAGTTGTCCGAAATAGACATTTGTCCCTCTGCATGGCGTTCACTGTATGTCCAGGCAGATCTTGCACGCTCAGGGTACGGAATTTCTGTAACAAAGTCCCAGTTTGTTAGACAGGATATTACTAACTTGAGCAGACAGTCTGCTTAGAGATCTGTTGTTTTATGTGATGAAAACGTGGCTGTTGGAAGTCCCTGCACTGGGTTTTGTTTGTGTCGTAAGAAATATGTCTTGATGATATTAGCAGCATTATTAAATGTCATAAGAATATATTTGCCCAGCAGCAGTGGAAGTATCCACAGTAACACTTGTAGGATCTTAGGAAATTTTTCATGTCAGACCTAGAAAAAAGATTTCAAAAAATTTTAAAAGTATGCTTTATTGAGAAATGTATGCAAAGGGTGCACATTCTAAGTAGTATTACTCAAATGGTGAGTATTTTACTTGCTACTCTTGCTGGATAGTTGTCATCTATCGCTTCAAAACAGTACACATGCTGCCGGACAAAATTGTTGAAGGATCCAGTTACAGGGAGTAATGGTTTGGGGTGAGAGTCAGGGTAGAGATATTTTTTTAAATTACTTTTTTCTAATCTAGCAGTGCACAGGTTCTGAAAAAAGGGTTAAAGAAGATACGAGATTGGAGGATGATGTGCTAGGTCAAAAAGCTGGATACATCTACTAATTTTGGCAGTGTCTGCATTTCAGTGTATGGTGTGAGGGTGATGTATGAAGTAAAAAAGGCTGTATGTACACAGCTGTATGCCAATTTTCATGACTGTTTCTGTCTAGCCCTGGTGCTTGCTTGTACACTGTGCCTGCAGCTCCACCTCTTCAAAGACTGTTCTATTAATCTAACCTACTGAGAGCTATTCATACAGCTTATGGGTTTTTATTTTTAAATCCTCACAAAAATGATTTGCTGCCCTCAAGTTAAGAATTTAAAGGAAAATTAAATTATGGCAGCCTAAGTAATAAAGCTTCTTTAAATTTGATAGATAGAGACCACGAAAGCAAAAAGTCTGTATCCCTGGAAAGATTTCTGATATTGTTTAGTGCTGGGGGGAGTTACTATTGCTAGTATATCATGCAACATCAGGTCTTATATTCATGCACTTATGTTTCAAGAATTCTTTAATTTTCAGAGTTGTTCGTTATGTTTTAGCTCATAAATTAAGAGATTTCTAGCTCAAACATTTGTATCTTTATAAGGCCTATGGTATTGGGGTCATAGTGTTGTATAGTTTTGCTTGACAGATGGATTAAAGAAAGAAAGCCTTAAGAAAGTCCTTATGCCCTAAGAAACGTCTGAACTTTTCTTGCATGCCACAAAATGTAAGCCTAGTATTTGTTACTGTGATATATGTGTTATGTTATTGCCAGCCTAGTATGACACATGTAAAGTGCTCTATTGTTTCTACTTCTCTTGAGCGGTGGAGCTTTCCTAACTTGAGTTTAAAAAAAAAAATAAAATCTAGTTTTTCATTTTGTTTAGCTGGGGAAAAAAAAAAAAAAAAAAAGTAGTTGATGTTACCTAAAACCCGTGAAGAAGGGAGTTGACCCAAAATAGTAAAAAAAATAGGGGGGGAAGGTGGGAAATATCCAGATTTTTGTTTTCTTACATGTATAGACAAGTGTGTGCCATTTATTTATCTCTCATTTCTTCTGTCTTTAGGTTTTCCAAATGAGCCTGCTGCTGTCATTGCCCTTAACACTATTAAGGAATGGTTAAGCAAGAATCACAGTGAGGTATGGAATATACATTTCCCAAATTTCTGTTCAAGTTTATGGTCTGTGAAAAGAGTAAACAGGCTTGAGCCTTGAAGTCTTTTTTTATTTAGTCTTAAGACCAGTGAAATCAGGTCAAGACAATATAGCTAGGGGAAGATCATTATACTTAAAAGCAAATGGATTTGAAGGGAAATACCTTTGTTTGAAACCATACTGTGTCTTTCCTGTGCATTGTAAACTTTCCTGGCAAAGTGGAAGACTATTCTCTTCCTAAGGTGTTTCTGAGCGTCAGAGTTTTTGTGTAATAATAAGGAGATTCTTGGAAAGGAAATGTATATAGCAGTAGTCATTGGAAACAGCCACCAAAGGTCAGTGTGTTCCAGGGGTCACTTTACAGTAAAGAGCTGTATGATAGTATTCTCTATTTTCATTAGGTTTTGGTTTGCTTAAAGTGTTTGTTTTTCCTGGAACACTCACTAACTATGTGATAGAACTGTGAATTTTTAACAGGACTGGTTTTCTTCCAGTGACAATATGATGCCGATTATTTTTACAAGACAAAAAAAAAAATTCTTTGAACAGAATGATCTCCATACCTTCCCTTTCTAGTTTTTTGTCTTTCTCTGGTTTGAGTTCTTAGCAAGCTGATAGTTCCTGGTGTTGAATTGGAGAAATGCAACAAAGAAGTGACAGAACAAATAAAATAATCATGATTTCTAAAACTGAAGATATACCTGTTTCCTCATGATGACAGCCAACAGATTTTAGACAGCTAGAGTTGTTCAGTATTTTTGCCTGAAAATATTTAACAAAGCATCCAGTGGAGAAGCACTGGATACAGGGACATAATTAGTAGTATTTTTCCTCTACCAATATATCCAGGAGGCCTTTTTCTCAACGAGAATCTGATATGTGAGGGTATGAATTTAGCAGTTTTATGTGGTTTATTTTGGTTTTTACCAACTTTGAATTAAAAGGAAATACTGTGTTGAGATTTGAATGGTAAGTAGAGGTTTTCAAACATAAAGGTACACTAAATATTTTGTTCTATGGTTCAGTCCTGGCTCCTCAGCTATAAGACAACTTTCATTTTCAATACACTTTGAGTCTTCCCTTTTTTCTCCTGTTTTCAGCTTCTGGCTTGGAAATTTGTATGCCCTGAGTGTCATCTTTCCCTCTGATTTTAGTTAGTGTGTGTATTCCACATTTTTCTGGTCCTCTCCACACACTTCAAGTGAGTTCCTCCCCTTGTCCTCAGAAAGCTCCAGGTCTGTTTTGGAAGAAGATTTGGGGTTCACAGCAAATAGCAATTGAAGTGACAGTGTTTGTCATATGTGTTCAAGACTCTTATCTGAGTTATAATAATTTTTTATGTGTTTTGACCCGTGTTTGCAAAATGTCGCTGTATTTATGGTCCATGCAGATTAGTATAAATAAGCACTGAACATGCATAGTTCCTCCTTTCTCACTCTCTGTAACAAACTCCCCTCTAAGTCTTGGCCTTCTTGGCTGCCTAGCTCTAAACCTCCTATCTTGCTCCCCACAAGCTCCAATTTAATCTGAATTCTTTCTAAATAAGTTTACAATGTTTGAACAGTACAAGAAGCCCAGGCTGTCCTGACTACAAAACAATTGTAAAAAATTATCCTACCGTGGTTACATCTCAGCTGGTTTTTGAGTTTGGAATAGTATAGCTAATAAGTGTTGTATTAAATGTCTCGGAACACCCCAAATCCCAGACTCACCAAGTTGAGGTCTCATACCATTTGTTGCACTTTAAGACGTACATGTGAAGCATTTGATGCAGTTATTACCTATCAGTGAATATGACAATTAAGAGCTAATCTGTAAGAGCTTTTGTTAGTTTTCAAAGGAAGTGGAGTGCTACAGTTCAGTCAAGTTAGGTTTTGGGGGTCCAGTTATCCATAGCTTTGTACTTTCTTATATAAAGCTTTCCCCCTTTGTATGTTTTTTCTGCAATCTACTAGCTTGAATTTTAGACTGTGGCATACTAGCATGTTTTACATGTCATAAATCGGTCAGCAGCAATATAGAAATACTTAACAATTATATTGAAGGTGCAGTAACTTATGCAGTGAAAGGGATCTTTGAGAAGCATACAGTTGTTGGGCTGCTGTTGTTCAGTGACTATGGCAAGGTGAGCATAGTTCATCTGGTTTAAATGAACTGATATAGCTCTGTGCCAGGTGGCAAGGTGATCCATCTTATACTGTGTACACTTACTCGCTAGATTTGGGGTTTTGAGTAGTAGTATAATTATACATCACCCAAACTTTCCCTAAAAGTAGCTCATCATACAGCAATGGAAATGAAAGGGACTTTATGTATCTTAACAATGTAGTCTTCTCTTACTGCAGATAACTACGATATTGTCCTTTCTATAAACTTCCATCATAAAGGTAGAGCAACTCCTGCTACACCCACTGGATATTTAAATTCACCTGTTATAGTCCAGGACTAAAACCTCTAACAGTTTGCCACGAGGCCAGCTTTTCAGAAGGCTGCCCATGTTTCACTCCTGTTACCGCTAACCAGAGCTGCTCCCCTGACACTCACCGCACTGCCAAAGTGAGTCGGTGTGTCTCACTAACAGCCTCTCCTGAACAAGAGAGGCCTCCTGCACCTGCCAGAGTTTAATGAATCAAAGTCAGCTTCTTCCCTTTGTTCCTTCTTGTGCAATCTGCTGTGCCTTTCAGAAGGGTGGGCTCCTTTAGTACCAAAGATGTCTGGCAGACAGTTATCCAATGTTTGGTACTGGTTGTCCCAGCCAAGATCTCAAACTCTCTGAGTGTAAAATGTGAATTGATTGAACGAATTCACAAAGATTTAGTGCAAGATAGAGACAAAAGTGATAGCCTGCTCACTAGGAAATTTGCCCACACAACAGTACGCTTTGCAAAAACAGACAAGTGAAGAAGATGGAAACCTGACAAGTTTGTAAATCTTTTGCTGTGCTCTACAGCAGCAGTGTTTTATCTGCCTTCCCGCATCCCCAGAAACTGTGACAAATTTGTGAAAGATAAGACAATATTGTTGTTTTCTCCTCTCTACCTTCCTGTAGTACTTTTCTCCTTTGATGCTATAATGAAGATTTTATCCACACTGATATTAATTGAAAATATAAATAAATCAGTGACTATATTCCTTCGCCTGGGGGCCTGAAAATATAACCTAAAGACTCCATTCTTGCAAGCTGTGTTAGAGTCCTACGAAGTTCTCTGTCATAGTATTTACAAGAAAAGTGATTTGCATTTAATAAAAGGTTTTCTTACCCAAGTCCATGGTTGTGCTTGACCCCTCAGGTGTTTGCATAAAAACTTATTAGCATGCTTAACTCCAATGTCGCTCAGATGAATGTCTCATTACCATGCAAATGGAGTTAGCTCCTTTCTGAGGTTAATTGTTACAAAGCAACACAGAGAGAAATCTATTGTAATTTACTCAACATGGAACACCAGCTAGGCAGGGCAGCAGCCATCATAGTCTAGAAGCCTAAAGCTTAACTACATAAAGTCCACTAGGGAAAACAGCAGTATTGAAGTAATGGTTTGGACTTAGTTGAACATAACGTGCAGCGCTGTTCTGGTCTTGAAATGCAGGTCTTAGTCAAACTAATTTCTGGCCATGTTTTACACCAAGGTCTGCTGACTTGCAGCCGGAGGGCAAATCTAGTTTAGAAGCTGGTAAATGGTGTTATACTGTAAGTGTAGAAATCCCTTGGAGCAAACTCACAAGAATGGCCACAGTCAGCAGTACCGGTTAATTTACTGCAGACCACCTAGGCTATCTCTTTAGCAAACTGCATTTTCACATTTCACAAAGTGCTCTAGAGGTTTAATAGAATTCTTCAGAGCACAAAATAGAATTGGATCCCATCCTTTAGGAAATTATACACTGGCATTCATTTAAAAATGCACATTAAGCTCTTTGAACAGTTCAGAATGCTTCTTTCTGGGATAATTTGGCAAGGTTTGAGATACTGCCACCCAATTTCCCATAATGGTATCACAACAGAATTGTGGCACCTTTAAATACTGGACCCCATACATTTGGGGGGGCAGCAGGTAGAGGGTTATGTTTGGGTTTTTTGTGGCAAGCTTCTTCAAACATTTGCAATGTTAGAAATTATTTGCTTTTACTTCAATACCATGCTATGTTTCTCAAAAGAGTGAAAAATAAAAAATGCTCAGTGTATGCCTTACCTTATGTCACTGACATGAAAAGTCTCAGGACTTTTTCACTGCTCAAGAACAGACTTTAATTTAACAGCACATTTAGTTCAAAGTATTGTTCTTTCTCTTGCACAATATTTCACAACATTTATTACGCACCGCAGTAGAACAACAACCAGGAAGGTGCAATTGCAATATATGTTCCATTGAAATAACTGATGCGGATTAAAAAGCACATAAATGGAAAATAAATCAACACATTCCAGATTCCTTTTCATTAGAATCACTACTGAAGAGAGAGTTGTTCTTATTTTGCCTGAAGTGCATGAGATTTAGGTCTGTGTTATAGCAAGTAGTTATGCATTATCAAAAAAAAAAAAAAAAAAAAAAGTTGTACATTTTCAGCAAAACAGGATGAGCAAAATCTTGGTACAGTTGTAATTAGTGGAACTCTGTTTTCAGGGCAGGGGGGAGCAGGATCACACTTGCTACATGCCTCCTGAGAAACGTTTTCAGGAGGAAACACCTGGTTTGTCCAGTCAGGCACACCACAGTGTGGGTGCTCTGCACCTGTGCTTCATTTTGTGCTGTGCTTCGCCCAAATCATGGTGATATTTTGCACTACTGAGATAGTTAAAGTAGAATTACCTTTCCTGTGCATGGATTCCCGTACACACTTGTGCCTTGGTGGCATGCAGGGGTTGGGTTGCCCTGTCCTCACCGGCGGGAGCTGTGAGTGTAACACAGCAGGGAGAGCTGAGGAGATGCTGCAGTGGGGACCGTGGATGGGACTGGAGGCACTTTTATCCTGCTGATAAAAGCTGC